TTCTTTCCTAGAACTGATTTATCTTCAATAAGCTTCAAAATGACATATTTCTTTTGTGTCATAAAGTAAGAAATAAATAAGGAATAAGAAATTTGGGTTTCTGAATTTCTTGGTGGTAGATAGCTCTTAGTGCTTTTCTAAACTTAGGTTGAAAGAATAAGAAGAAAAAATGGTAAAGATTGAGTGATAGCACCAATTCTAGCAAGCAGTGGATTTATGTGGCTCTCACCAGCTTTCCTTAAGTCGTCTGATACACTAGGACTGAGGCATAAACCAGTGAATTCTCTAATCCTTACTTTTCTGATTATGGTGTAATTTTGGACATGGGACAAGACCTAGAATGTGGTATCCATCATTTATTGTCTTATCTTTCCTAGAGCTCAGAAATCCACTTGTCCCATTTCCCACTTGTATAAAGCATCGCACCAAGGCAAAGATCCAAACCGCAGAGGCATGCAGGAGAAGAGTAGGTCTGCTATGCGGGAGGGTCCAGAAACAGTGGCAAGACCCACAGGCAGTGAAGCCATTTGGTGTCATTTTAGGGACTCTAAAGAGCTCCGGTACCATAGTCCTTTATGTCTCAACAGAGACAAGAATTCAGCAAGAGGCAAAGTGATAGATGAGAAGTGATTTATTAGAATAGGATGCCTATTTGTAGGTACCTGAAGCTCATCCACATGCTACTGAATGCCAGGCCCTCTATTGCACACTTTACATACATTATCTGCAAGTTAGAGGAAATCACTACCACCACCATCACTGATGAAGAACCAAGATCAAAGGCGTTTATCACCTTGCTCCTGGTTACAAATCTTGTCTCTGTTGAGACTTAAAGGACTATGGTACCGCAGCTCTTTAGAGTCCCTAAAATGACACCAAATGGTTACATAGCCTGTGGGTCTTGCCGCTGTTTCTGGACCCTCCCGCATAGCAGACCTACTTTTCTCCTGCATGCCTCTGCAGTTTGGATAGATTGTAAAGCTATTAGGTTTACAAGTAGGTGGGCAAGAAATGCCACAGTTGAGAACTTACTGAGCTATAGTTAAATAAAGGAAAAGTGGGGAGGGGGAGAAATACTTTGCCTCTCTTAGGCAGACATCCTGCCTCCATCGTCAGTTCCCTCTCCAGGTTGAGCAGGGGGATTTTCTTGTCTCTACATGGTCAAACTAGGTCCACAAATTATTGTTTTTTATGTGTGCAGAGAGCATGTTCTAGGGACCATGAACTTACTGAGCTCCCTGGGCAGGATGTGGGTCTCATGCCACCATTGTTTTATTGTTTTGGGGCATGTCTTCTGCCTCTGCTACTTGGTTGTGTTGCTAAGCAAACTTGCTTTCTCGAGTAATCATTAATTGACAGAGGTCTCCCATATACTTTTACTTACAATCCCCTAGTGGAATTAACTGCTTAATCACCTGTTTTATCCTTTTACTCTGTCCCTATCAGAAGGAGTGGACCTTCCCTTTATGGGGCCCTGATATCTGGTGAAACTAACACCAGGGTGAATACTTCCTAATCTTTTTGCTCTACCGGGAAGAGAGAGCCCAGGGAGTTAAAAAAGTGCAACATAGCTCATTCATTTACTCAACTCATATTTATTGAGTGCTTGTGGTGTACCAAGCACAAAGGTGGATTCTGGGATAAGTTATCACTCTTGCCTTCAAGGTGTTTCAGTCTAGCAGGGAAAACACATTTAAACCAGTAATTAAACTCACTAAATATTAATATTACAGTGGGAAATAGCTTCGATTAGAAACAGCATAGTTGTGGAAGCCAACCTCAGGCTCTTTCTGAGATTTGTAACCAGGAGCAAGGTGGTAAATGCCTTTGATCTTGGTTCTTCACCAGTGATGGTGGTGGTGGTGATTTCCTCTAACTTGCAGATAACATATGTAAAGTGCACAATAGAGGGCCTGGCATTCAGTAGCATGTGGACGAGCTTCAGGTTAGCAGGTAGCCTGCAGGGCAATGGGACCACTGAATCCTGAGTCTCATGTCACCGGTGCAAGAATGGCTTTCATTGGAATACTGGGGCCCTAAACTGACAAGGAGATGCCACTGACAGATTTTAGTCTTCTACACTCAGCTCAGGGACCAAAACTGACAGCTCAAAAACCCCACTGCCATTTTTGTTTTCATCCAAATTTCTGATACTAACGTCTCCCATATGACTCATCTTTTTCTACTGAGCTCCTTGTTTACTGGAAGGACCTTGCACTTCCACTAGCCTCTCTTTTCTAGGCCTTCAGTATATTTTCTTCTTGCCCTTCTCTCCAATCTCTGGTTTACTGTATTTGAGAGATATTATTAATATCTTGGGCTTTCCAGGTGGTGCTAGTGGTAAAGAACCCGTCTGCCAGTGCAGGAGACTAAGACACCTGGGTTTGATCCCTGGGTTGGGAAGATCCCCTGGAGGGGGTCACGGCAACTGACTCCAGTATTCTTGCCTAGAGAATCCTGTGGACAGAGGAGCCTGGTGGGCTACAGTCCATGGGGTTGCAAAGAGTCAGATATGACTTGGCACATGAACAACAACAATGAATGTTTCAAAGTCATATTTTTAATATATACATATGTATACTAATATGTATACATGATTATAAAAGTTTAATAGAATTTATTAGGTCATTGCTGCCTTTTTGTGAGCTAAGAGCTATTAGTTAATGCTTATAGAGTTCTTACTGTTAGGCCTCACATGTCTTAGGCATTGTATCAGTGCTTCTCAGATTTTAATGTAAATATATGTCACCTGGAGATCTTTCTAAAATATAAGTTCTGATTCATTCAGTGTGGGAGTAGGGCAAAGAGTCTACATTTCTAATAAGCTCCTGGGTGATGCTGTTGGTCCACAGACTGCATCTTGAATAGCAAGGCATTGTATCATTTGATCCAGATGACCAGACAGTGAGCTGAATATTATTTTCCCCATTTTACAGATGTGGAGGAATTAGACCATTTTCCCAAGGGCATACTGTTAGAAACTAGCACTGCTAGCAGTGCAGAACCCAGTTCTGCTTCCTGCTACATATGCTTTGGGCTTTGAAAATGTCCTACAACACCCAAAGTTGATCTGATGCTACCTGAAACAAAATTTATGTTTTTGTTAGCTATTTCTTCCTTTTTTAACGACACTTCCTTTCTAGTTTAAATTTCTCCTTATGCTGGACCTTTTGTTACAGAATGATTCAGATGTGCTGGATTTTGTTTCTAAAGATGATATGCAAGGTTTATTAAAAAACATTTTTTTTAACATTTAGCATAATTGACTTACCATGCTGTGTTAGTTTCAGGTGTGAAGCAAAAAACTTTTGTATGATTTATTCGCCAAGATTACAGGTTAGGAAACACTGTACCACTGATGCAATCTGATTTGAACACAAGAGGAAGTTGCTGGGAAAGGATGCATGTGAGGAAAGGAAATCCTCAGGCCGATTTATTGTTTAACGCTCAGTGTGCAGTGTGCTGTTTGTCACAGGCTAGTGGAAAAGGAGTGCTTGTCCTTAACAGAGCAGATACACTTTTAAGAATAACATTTTGAGCTGCTTATTAAATTAATTTGGTTCATAATAGAACATCTGAGCTACAGAAATATAATAGTAAAATAAAAAATGATCTAAAAATCCCACCGATTTTCATATTTTATTTTTATTTAAAAAAATGTTTAGAATATATCTCGAAACAGAGATCCAGGACCACATTTACGCAGAAGTGCAAGAGTTCAAGTGGTAATAAATTATAAATCATTTAAACACTTTTTTATTTTGAGGGGCAAGAGGAGTAAAAGGGGGCAGTTAGGAGTCCCCCCAGATTTAAGAAATGCGAATGCACTGCTCAGCCAGCACTCGAGTTCTGGGGTCACCTTCCAGCTTTCACGAAGGGTCTCAAAACTTAGCCCAACCCGTGCCGCTGAGAACTAGAGTTCTACGCGCTCAAAACCGGCCCGTCGCCGACGCATGCGCAATGCGGCCGCCGTGGCTCGGTGGGCGTTTCACAGGCCTATTTCTCTCCCGCAGGTTTTGTGCTTTTAGTGAAAGGGCCCGGACTGCGACGCCAAACAATTCCGAGCCCAAGACGGCAGAGGGAAACCATCTATACGTGAAAAACACATCGCGTTGAAATAAGCTGCGGGAAGGGGTGGGGGTAGGTTCGGCAGGCGTCTCCAGATACACGCTCTTATTGTGGAAAAACATCTTCACAAGCAACTAACTTGGAGGGACAGGAGTTATCTGTAGGAAGAGAATTTAGAAGGTGGAAGGGGTGAGGGGTAACGATCTCTATAACTTTCAGCGTTGCGTTCTCAAGATGCCCTGTGCCTTTTTTTCCCCCTTTCATTTCTTTGGGGAGTCCGGATGCCCCAATTAATCCTTCGCTCCTCTCGAACCCTTTAAAAATTGTGTTTAGGAGGTCCTAATAGAAGCCCCCACCGAATTACACTGTTCAGACACACTCTAAAGCAGGAGATCCCCGGACGCCTGGGGCTGTGCGAGCTCCGCCGACCTGAGGGTTGGTGGGGGGCGGGGGCGCCTTGAGGGATCCCCTTGGCCGCCCCGCTCCCCTCCCTTCCCCTCCCCGCCCGGGCCGTCGACCCCGGGCCAGGGCGGCGCGCGCTCTCCCACCCGCGCCTCTGGGGACTCGCAGACGGCAGCGAGAGCGGCCCGCGCGCTGGGCATGCTCAGTCGCCCGGTGCCGGGCTCGCAAGTCGGAAGCTTGTGCGCGACCGCCGCCGCCGAGCCGGCTGGAGCGCACGAAGAGCGCGCGGGACTCGCTGCGGCGGCGGCCAGGAGGCGGCGGACCCGGGCCGGGATCGGAGCCGAGCCCGGCGCGGGGCCCGGGATCCGCCCGCCGCGGCGCCTGCTCCTTCGCACCGTCGCACCCTCGCAGGCAAGGGGCCGGCCGCGGCTGGCGTCGGCGGAGCCGAGGAACGGCGGCGGCGGCGTTGGCGGCCACCGCCGCATCTCCGCTGCCTGCCCCGGCCGGGCAGCTTCCAGGAGCCGTCGGGCATGGAGCCGTGGAAGCAATGCGCGCAGTGGCTCATCCACTGCAAGGTGCTGCCCGCCAACCACCGGGTGACCTGGGACTCGGCGCAGGTGTTCGACCTGGCCCAGACCCTCCGCGATGGAGTCCTGCTCTGCCAACTGCTCAACAACCTCCGGGCGCACTCCATCAACCTGAAGGAGATCAACCTGAGGCCGCAGATGTCCCAGGTAACGAGGCCGGCGCGGTCGCCTCCGCCTCCAGCCGGCATCTCCCATTAATCAGCAGGCTAATGTCTTTGTGTAAATGCAAACATCTAGGTACTCTCTGTTTGCCCTGCCTTCTGCTTTGCCGACCGCTTCGGCTTCTTGTACCTTGGCTTTACGTGGTTTAGCTCTTTAGTTGAATGCTAGAGCCCTGTGTCCTAAGATGGTATGAGGATTTCTTAAGGGCTTTCTGTGAGGCGGGAAAGAACAAGCTGTCCTAAGGTGCCCTTCACCTACTGGGGGTGGGTGGCTGGGTGTGTGTGTGTGTGTGTGTGTGTGTGTGTGTGTGTTGGGCGCAACAAAAAGAGTTTGGTCCAGCTCTTTTTTAATAACGATGGGCAGGCATGGAAGGAGCTGATGGGGGTAATTATGCCTTTAGTTCAATGCTTGCATTTCGTCCCCATGTTTTCTTGAAAGAGGAAGCATGACATAAAGGAGGACTCTAGGAAGTGGAGGGCGTTCCGGTACAGTTATCTGTACGGGATTGACACTGCCAAAGGGCGGAAAAGGGAGCACAACGTAGCGGCTGCCCTGAAAGCCCCCTGAGCTTGGGGCCAGCTGGCAAGCTTCATGGTTGTGTTTATAGCTCGTCTTAAGCCATGTGAGAAGGAGCCAGTCCAACCTCTCTCAACAGCAGCAGGAAACGAGAAGTTTCGCTCCAGATTCCGCCTGCCTTCATTCAGTGCTTGCTCAGGTGGTATGGTGCACTTTTGGCTTCTGTGGCTGGAGCCCTTCCTGGAGGTGCCTGTTTGAGGAGTTTAAAAAAAAAAAAATCCAACTCTGGAAGGCTGTGTGCATCCTAAACTCGTAAGTCGCTACAGAGTGGAATGGTAGCTTCTTGGTCCTGTCAGAAAGTTTTTATGCAGAAAGGTGTTAAACACAACTGAGTACATCTGTTTTCTCTTTTAGAGAAAAAGCCACTTTCAGAGTAAAAAACCACTTTCAGCTTGAAAGGGAGAGGCAACAGTTCCCTACATGATACACTTTAAGCAGCACTAATCCTGAATGATACAGAGCCTCAGCTACTTAGCAACCAGAACAGTGCCTTTTACAGCAGAACTTTATATAATGCAGACTCGAGATAATGTAATAATTATGTTTTTAAAGTTAGAGCACATACATTCCTCTCTTCTGGATGTCAGCGTTTTATCAGGGCCCGTCTGCACCTCCAGTTCTGCATACCTTGCCCGTCTACCTTCAACCTGCTGGTTAGTGGTTCCCAAGAAAGAACAGGCTTGTAAGTGGTGAGAACCATACAGTTTTAGAAGTGAGTTAATTTATTTCATACTATCCCATATTCCGGGGTGGTGTTGGCTAACTCCATGGACCCCTTAAGAGTTGTCGCAGTTCGGAATATCCTGTCCAAGGATTTAACAGACTTTTCCATTAAGCTGGAAGTTGCTGCTTTGCTCAGAGTTCTCTAGGAAGCTGCAGCTGATTATCCAGTCTGCAGATCCCCATTTTCCACCTGACCTATGGCCTTAGGATGCTTTGGTCCACCAGCAGGTAGTATGGTACTGTGCTTATCCTGAACACTTGAACACTTGGGGGTTGTTCATTAAGTGGTTCTCAATAATCAAGTGCTTTTGACAGCCGAGGTTCTCTGTTTCAACTTTCTAACCTTTACTTCAGTGTTAACAATGAGTGAAAAATTTTTCAAATGTGTTTTTGCTCTTTGTTCCCCTTGTAGAGTATAGTAGATGTAATTTAATATTTTTGACAACAAAGAATCTTCATTATAAGCATCATTAATGAAAATTGAGCTCGTACACTGCTCTAAGAATTCTATTCCCTACTGGGAATACCACAGTGAACACCTCAGGATCCTTGCCCTAAAGGAATTACTACACTATTCTGTCAGATAAGTCACCATGTTATAATGAGCTGAACAGTTGAATGACCTTCCTTAGACTGTTGTGCTTTGGGGTTCTTAACCCTGAACTTCCTGGTTCCAAATTCTCTGCAGTAATTTTCTATGAACATGACTTAGCGACTAAACAACAATTTTCTGTGAGTGTGGACTTCTTCCAAAAATGAACTGTGGAAGGCTAGTACCTGAATACAGTGATGTCTCTTTTTGCTGTCTTCCTGATTCTTGGCTCCATTGCAGAGAGAATGTTGCTGAACAACTGAGTTCTACACAGGTGATCGTGTATTATGTAAGTTGTCCTTAAATGAAACTTAGTAATGTTTTCATTAAATAATTCATTGACATATTTAACACACCTCTGTGCCTGGCAGATACTATGCACTTAATAGGTGTTCACTTTTAGCAAAATTACTTAAAACATTTTTTTTTTTTTGGCTATTGTCACATTAAGAGTAAAAGGTTACAATCAAAATTCTAAACATCAATTGCAAAGTCTACAAGTTCCTTTGGGCTGACATCTCTGCCTCTTACTACTCCTGTCTTTCTTGGTGAAGGTTCTGTCTGCTTCTGGTTATCAGGCTCCTCATCTGTCAGCTCAATTCATACATTATAGTGAATAATCTAATAACCCAGTGAAACTCTGACATATGTCCCAGCAGACCTTACTCTTCTGAATTTAGAGTTGCTATTATTAGTTCTTGTGGCTTTTGCTGTGTCTCAGACTCATTCTGTCCATCTGGCTTAAGTTTTGTTGAAGATATTAATTTGAAATAGACTCTTTATAGCACCTGATCTTCTAGGCCAGGGAATAACTGGAGACTCTCAGTTCAGAGTTTTGTGGTATTTGAGACTGTCATGAACAGATATTGACACCAGGAATTCTAGTGTATCAGTATCTTGCTTATTGTTTTTAATTTTTCAGGAAGAGGCTAAAATGAGTAACCTCTTTTAATAATGTTTATCTCCAATGAGTGGGGTTTCTTCCATTCTTCTTGTTTAGTCTTCTACCTTACTTGTGTGAAAAAATGATAACCCTCAAATAATTAGACAATTTTAGGTTTGAATCTTGGGGTCTTAATCAGCTGTCCTCCAAAATAAAATTATAAATGGGATTTAGATTCTCTTACTTAGTAATTGTTGTTTTTGGCTGTGGACATCAGCCTTTTGGAAGTCTTGTATTGAAAGAGGAGAATATTCTTCAGTTCAATATAGGTTCTCTTTTTTTTTTAACCCTGATTTAGATTTTATTTTATTAGTTAAGGTGCTAAATATTAATCCCATTTAGTTACACATTAAACATATTCCTTTTATTATAAAGAATAAAAGTTAAATAAAACCCAGATGATCCATGAAAATCCACACAATCTGTGAAATCTGATCTCTGTATATACTAGACAGATTTACTTTTCATCCAAAACAGTGTTCTAGATAGGATACCAAGCATATACATGATTCTGGAAGAGAAGAGCCTTCCTGTTCTATTTGTACTGGGGAGGTGCTTTGTGGAAGACTAGGTTGGGCTTGATGTCACTTTTGGTGGTTAAGACGGTCTCCATAAATGCCTGTAATCAGCCACGGATGTATTGTCAATGAAATTGTCTTAATCTTTGTGTTAGTCACTCAGTTGTGTCTGACTCTTTGTGACCGCATGGCCTGTAGCTCATCAGGCTCCTCTGTCCATGGCATTCTCCAGGCCAGAATCCTGGAGTAGGTTGCCATTCCCTTCTCCAGGGGATCTTCCCAACACAGGAATTGAACCCAGTTCTCCTGCATTGCAGACAGTTTCTCTAATCTTATTATTTTGTAATTTTGCTTTGTCTTAGGATGGTAATAACACATTTGATAAATTTACTGACCACTCTGTACAGTATAGGTAAACTTTGAATTGTCTTAAAATGACTTATTCAGTTTTCAAGGGTTCCTTCAACAAATAGTTTGTTTCTACAATGTGCCAGACACTGTTTTAGGTACTGGCTTGGAGCAGTAAACTCAATAGAGTCCCTGCCCTAAAAGGATTTATATTTTAGTGAGGAACAATAAATAAATGGCTATATAATGTGATGGGCTCTGAAGAGATGTGAGCTTGGGTTAAGGGTCTAGAGGGAAATGTGATTTGATTTTATAGAAGGTAGTCAAGAAAGGCTTCCTCCGAGGATTTGACAACTGAGCAGGACCTGAAGGGAGTGCGAGAAGGCAGGAATGTGGATGTTTGGAAGAAGCAAGTTCCTGGCAGAAGGAACACCCAAGTGCTAAGGTCGTGAGAGGTATTTAAATGGCAGGTAAACTGGAGGAACAACCAGAGGTCAATGGCTAGAGGAGAGTGAGTATGGGAAGGAGTGGCAGGGATGAGATCAGAGAGAAGATGCGAACTAGATTTTTAGCACTTGTGAACTGTGGAGGACTTAAGACTTTCACCCTGAGTAAAATAGGAATCACGTGGCCTGACTTAATTTCAATAGGGTCATTCTGGCTGCTGTGTTGAGAGTAGATGGCAGAGCAGCCAGGATGGAAGAGTCAGGCTCAAGCAGTCATTCCGGCAGTGATGATGGTGGCTCTGACCAGGGTGATTGCAGGGCAGGTGATGGGAAAGAATCCAGCCTTAGGTATATTTTGAAGGTGGAGCCAGCAAAGACTTGACAGCATCAGATGACAGGGGTGAGAGGAGCCAAGAATGACTCCAGGGTTTCTGGCCTGAGGAACTGAACTGATGGAGTCTTCATTGACTGAGATGGAGAAGATGGAAGGTGGAGAGAGGGGGAGGACGATGTGGAGTTAGTTCTGTCTGAAATGCCCATCAGGCCTGTAGATGATGAGCAGGCAACTACAGAAGTTGGAGATGGAGAGATAAAGTTCAGAGGCATCAGATATAGATGGTATTTAAAATGCTGGCAGTGTGTGGTATCACGTACGTAGTGTCCAAAGAAAAGGTCAGAGGTGTGAGCCCTGGGGCTTGCCCATGTGTCAAGGGTAGAGAGATGAGACCCTGCACTGGAGTTGAGAGAAAATGGCTACGGGGTAGGAGGGGAAGCTAGCAGAATGTGGTTTGAGCAAATCAGGTGAATAAAGTGTTTCTAGGAGGATTGATTAGACATGT